TGAAATAGCCAATCAAATTTTAGATAGTCACCAGTTTCACCAGCATGATTTAGTTTCACCAGCATCTATAGTCATGACCCATATAATAATTTATTATATGAGTCATAAATTTTATTATAACCAGGTCAGTTTCGGGTTAATCGGGTCAACCCACTACTTAATAGCTTAATAAACGGCTGTGGTTTCATTAACGATTAAAAGAAGAGTAAAGAAGAGTGTATTTTTATTTCACACGATAACTATGTAGTTGGATCAACTTCTACGATTATTTTTCACATGTTTTTAATTAATTTGATTGGTGCATAAAACATTAATTAGGAGTTTAAGTAGTTTAAGTAGATAATCATCCAACGGTTAATTGTTTTGATTAGTATATTTTATTAAATAAAGATTTAGCCTAAAACTTTATACTTTACAGTATATGATTTAACGTTAATTATTAATCAATATATAACAGATAACGATAATAAAATTAGCCAATTATATTTGATTACCTAAGATGTTTTTAATTTATTAATTTATTGGTCAAAAATGTTAATATTCTGGCTAATTCAACTAGATCCGTTACGTCATCTCTGCATTACATATATATACAGTATATAGAATAAATAAGTAAAAAAAATTTTACCTGACTGTACATAGACTCTATAAAAGACAACTGATGTCCTGATAATTACAAAAAACAATGAGTAAACTTAAAACTACACCACCACTTGTTAGTCTTCGTTCAGTAAACACTGCTCAAGAAGGTATGATGCACACTTTTGACTTTGGCAAACTGAAAATATTTCTTACAAAGAAAAAAATTGCTTATATAACATACAGTTGAAATACGCCTTCACGAGCCCCTAATTCAAAAACAAGGGTCTCGTAAAAAACGAATAGGGCTACAAATATTGAATGCATTGGCAAGATTGGAAGTACTACTGAATAAAGAGGAGGCACTTGCCATTTCAGAAGATGCGGTGCAGCATTTGACGCAGGTTCGTGTGTGTGCTAAAAATAGTTTATTTATTGACAAGGGTGATATTTGATAAGATCAAATAATTGGAATTTCGTTTGAGACATAAAAGGATAATTAAATAACTGTCCTCGGTACTGCTTATATATACAGCGCTTTTATAATTGGTGAGGTTTAATGTGTATCATATTGGATTGTGTTTTTAGCAGCCGTAACAAAGCTCAATCTGAACGGTTTTCGGTTTCATGAAATACCTGGGGTCTGTTCTGAACGTAGATATATAGAAAATTACCCCATTTGGTTGCAAGAATTGTCTGAAGACTTTGCAGCTCATATGCAAGAGCATGGTGGGGTGGGTAACACCTAGAAATATTATCTTTACAA